TCATTAGCAGCACCTTTACACCGATTAACCCACAAAGGACGAAAATTTTTATGGACCATCGAGTGTCAACAGGCGTTCGATGCTTTGAAGGCTCGGTTAACTTCTCCACCTATATTAGCCTTTCCAGATACTTCAGCAGACGGAGGCGAATTTATACTGGATACGGATGCCAGTTCCTCTGCTATTGGAGCAGTTTTATCACAAGTAGATCGAGATGGACAAGAAAGGGTCATTGCGTATGCTAGTCGACGACTAGATAAGAGTGAAGCACGATATTCTACTAGCACTAGTAAAATTCTTACAACATTTCCGCCATTATCTTCTGGGTAAACCCTTTCGTGTGCGCACGGATCACCGTGCACTACAGTGGCTCCGCTCTTTCCGCGAACCAGAAGGGCAAGTGGCACGCTGGCAGGAACGACTACAAGAGTTCGATTTCACATGCGAGTATCGACCGGGAAATCGACATGCAAACGCGGATGCTCTCTCCCGAATACCCCAGACCACGGATATTATTAACGCAATTCTTAGTACAGCTCCGGAGACAGACTGGCCCTCCCTACAAGCAACAGATCCAGCCTTACAGATTGTTTATCAAAGACAGCTACATGGAAATAGTAAGCCATCCATGAGGGAGCTTAAAGATCAATCCGTAACAACTCGTCGTATTTGCAGCAAATGGGGCAACCTCAAACTATATGGTGACACATTATTCCTAATGAATGAATCAAAACAACCCCTGCTGATAGTACCGCGAGTGAAAGTTGAGAGCATTGTGGAACAGGTACACCGCGAACTTGGTCATGCGGGAGAACGTAGAACTGAACACGCTGTCCGTCAACGCTTTTGGTGGCCATCCATACACGAAGATGTGGCTCAGTTTTGCAAGAATTGTAACACGTGCTGCCGTTTTAAATCGCCCCAGCAGACACCCCGTGCACCAATGACGCCGATGGTAACGACAGGACCACACCAGCGAGTTGGCATAGACATCATGGGACCATTGACTATGACAAAAAACGGGAACCGCTACATACTGGTTATGGTGGATTACTTCACTAAATGGTGCGAAGCTGTACCCCTTCCACAGCAGGACGCCCTTACTGTCGCCCGAGCTTTCATCGATCATTGGGTCGCCCGTTATGGTGCCCCTGTTTCACTCCACTCAGACCAAGGTCCATCCTTTGAAAACCACCTCATTACTGAGATATGCCGGCTATTGGGAATCAAGAAGACGCACACCACTGCATATCACCCAGAAGGTAACGGTCTCGTGGAAAGAACAAACAGAACCATTAAAGTCATCTTGCAGTCGTTTGTTAGCAGATCGTCACCTGAGTTATGGGATGAGGTGCTTCCCCAATGCCTTTTAGCATACCGTACGTCAGTACATGGGTCCACGGGGTTCTCGCCTGCTATTTTGCTGTTTGGGCACGAATTACGCTTACCAGTAGAGATACAGTCACCCCTACTGCCCTACGAAGAACAAGAGCATGTTCCGTACATACGTACTCTTCGCAATCGACTAGCTGATGCATACCGTCTGGTCAACATTAACTTATGCAAGGCTAGTGGACACCAAAAAGATATATATGATCGTCAAGCAAAAGGACCTAGGTATACAGTTGGAGATCGCGTATGGTTACGCCGCCCAATGACATCACTAGGGGGTTGCAGTAAATTCCATCAGCCCTGGCAAGGCCCCTTTGAAATTGTCCTCATCCGATCCCCCACCACGTTTGTATTGCGTAATATACAACGACCTAAAGACGACGTGATAACGGTGCACTACAACCAGATAAAACCCGATCGGACGACATTTCCCTTCGACGCTCAACTCGCTGATCCACCGCCGGCCACTAGATTTTACGAAGTACCATCTGAAGGAGGGACAGCATACCCGTGCCCAAGACCAGGCACTGAGGACAGTGCCTCATTAGGAGAGGGGGCGATGTAACGGGATTAAAATCATCATGTATGATGTTGCTAATAGGTTTTGTTTTCTTTCTATTGCAGAGCAAGCAAGAATAAACGCCTTAGAAGAAGAAGAGCAAGCCCTGCACGCACTAAACTTACAGGACGACTCATAAGACCGTTTTGTAAACTAGCTCTCTTTCTGTACAGAACCCGCGAAATTTAATTTTAAAATAAACGACTGTTGGTCTTCGTTCCGCGTTCTCTCTGTGGTGTGAAGTGTTCAGTTAACATTGTGTGTGTTGTGGCTTTAGGTCTTCCTGCCTTCCGGTGGCTGCTGATTACACGTGTTACACTTGGTTTGGTATTTGGTGCTCTCTTTATCTTTGGTTTGGTGTTTGGGAGTTTTGCTCCGGGAACCTACAAAATTGAAGGTTTGTTTTGTAATTGTTATAATTATTGTTGTTAGAACGACAGTTGGTCGATTACGAATAAATTTGGTATCTAAATTGAAATCGATAGTTCGTACTTCAATAACTAGAACGAGCAAAACTCAGGACTTAACATAAAATTCTTCAATTATTGGTTCTGTGTTCATACCTTGGATTGTCTGGATATTTTGGACTCAATTCCCTGGTCCTATTGGTCGGTTTCATTTGGATTAACTCGGAATTGTTTTGCTAATCGATTTCTTTGGAACAATCAGTACGATGGAAACGGCAGCGCTCCAGGGGTATCGCGACACTTTTTTGCGATACTTCTTTATTTCTGCTTTGTGCACAACCAAATTTTGAAATAAATTATGAATAAATTTGAAAATCTATTTTCCGTTTTCATAAGTAGGTAGAAAGGGGTTTTTCTATTTTGCGTTACATGGTATCGCGAAGTCCTTGAAAATTCATTATTCAGGTGCTGCTATAATAGTTTTTCGGTGTTTGCATCGCAGATTAGCAATTGTTTCTGGTTGGGTATACACTGATGGTAGGCAAATCTTTTATTTTTATATGAAATAGCAAGATTCAGGCATATATCGTCATAAAAATAGTATTGTCGTCAAGGCTACCAAAACTGCGTTACAACTAACGATACCATGTTGAGATTTATCGTTTTTCCCATCTTTATCACAATTTCTGCTGATTTTCACTGTTTTGTTCGACTTTTATGGCAGAAATAGCTTCATAGTGAAAACATTAAGTGTCCTGAGTGTTGTAACTATTATGTATATGCTATAGATGATAATAACACATACCAAGATGTTAATATTGCCTCCTACAGTTAGATATATTAGCCACCAGATGATTGTATTGCAGGAAATAAATCATAATCATGCGGTAGAGGTATAATTATGTGGAGGTTTTACCAGAGACCAAGCTAAGATAGCATTACTACCTCTTGTGTAGATGTACACATGTATTTGGCTGTATCAAAGCATGTCATTAAGATATGGTTGTAACTTTTTTCTTTTTTTAATTCAGAATTCACGGGACGACTACCTTAGCTCTCAATGGCCGTGCAACTGTTTTGATGTTATACTTACATTTCAATAAATATTATTTTTCAAACAGCTTACTTTTTTACTTACATGGGAAGCTGTAGAAGTGTTGAGAATGTGTGTTTGAGTGTCAGTGAACTATTGAATAAATGCACATTCCTTATAAATAATACATCACGTGTTTCTTCTTTTGCAGATAGTTTCACATAACAATGTATTAGCAATTGCATTGGATATGCAAAACAATTGGTGCTTAAGCTTCTGCTCTAGTGTTGTACAATAATACGCTTTACCTTTTAAATAAAAATTTTGAAAAATATGCCGGTTTTCCACTGTATTGCAGATTTATTTTGGTCTGTTGTTGAAAATAAAGGCGAACATAGGAGACGTTTGGGGTTATGTCAATGGATGGAAAACAGGAAGTTCTGTGTGCATTTAGACGAAAAGTAAACAATTCAGCGGACATTTAGGTGAAAAGTAGACAATTATGCGGACAGTTAGGCGAAAATTCGGTAATTTGGCAGATATTTAGGCAAAAAGTGAGTAATTTATCGACAAAACGGCGAAAAAAGGGGAAATCCACATTATTTCCCCCGAACAGGCGAAAAGGCGACATTGTGATGTGTTTTCCCCTTTCGCTACCAAAGCATTTACCCCTTTATTCTCCCTTTTCGGGTTGTCTGGGGAGCTTCAATGTTTTGGCTGCCGGTATGACTGCAAAAATACCTAATATCAGAAATAAGTACTGATATAAAGCTGTCACGAGAAAGCACTGAAAATTACGATTCGATAGTCAAGATATCTTGATCTAAGGTGACCAGATTGTATGAGATCCTATGTGATGATCTTCGGAAATCAACCAAGGCCTGTCTAGCTTACGTGCTGATGCCGTTAATGACAATTACTCATAACTTACGTGGGACTACAATAGAATATGTATCAATAATTGCAGGTTACATAGGACGATTCACAGTAAATTCACACAGTAGTCTTTATATGTGTTCATCATCTAAGTTTCCGAAGTGCAACCTGTTCAAAGAATTAAATAATACAATCCGTGTATGTTGTGACCCAGACTTTCCTAAGCAACGCAAGAGATAAAGGAAATAAGCGTGATTGGCTATTTTTTGAAGGAAGGGTGTGCCAAATGCGCTTTCGATCTGTAATTGAATACTGGTTTCCGTTTTTATAGTAGTTTCTGGTAAACATTTACACTGAAATAACTTTCCTATCTTATTTCCAGCTAGCTTCGCAAGTGTTCACAGACCTAATGGGAACAATTCCTGAGAAATAGAAGTTATTTATTAATGGATCATTTGTGCTAGATTCAAACTCAAATAAACGTTTTCATTTATAGCGCACCAGTCTCTTAATTACGGCAATTCTTATCTATCGTGACAGGTCGAAATTCGATCTACTAGTATGGTACATCATGTTCAAGGTAGCAGTATTTGGTAAACGGTAAGTATGACTAATCGCGTGTGCGCCAAACTGGTAATTATTACACAAGAACGCGAAACAACATCCCTGTCTCACAGCCATATAAGACTGCACAGTACACTCCCTGCCGTTACGCTATAAGAATAAGTCAATGGCCATATAAATGAATTTATGTAAAACTAAAAAGATTACAATATTAGAACTTGTTAGCAAGAAGCATAGCTATGGTCTGTATTAACAATGGATTCTGACGTTGTAACTTCATCATTAGCACCGACTGAACTCATCAATTGTGCGCATATGTCTTCCGATGCTTCGAGGCATGAACGGATGAGTTTACTTGCCAAAGGTTCACTAAGAGCATGGATTGAGTGGTAGTTGCTAGTGTACTTCTCTAGCAGATCATCACTCCCTGTAGAGATTGAGATGTCCAGCCCACGAAGAACCAGGTCCATTATGTATTTTCTTGTCCACCGGTTGCTATGTCGAAATAAGTCTACAAAACTTATAGAGATAAAGGAACACATATACCTCCACGAATCAGATCTTTCGAATGTGCATAGAGAATATGACCACCGGGCAGCATGTAGTATATTGAAACGCTCACAAACACATCGTGCACGTGAAGTATCCACAACATACATCATACGCTTGTCGTAGCACCGGATGTATTCCCCTTCTATAAATTCGTGTCTCATTGTCCGAACACGTTTATAATTTACAGCTACAATTTTAGCTGCAAAAGATGTGAACTCATTTAGAAGAGTTCGAAATGACATTGGAACCTGGAATTAATTATACATTTAACTATATTTCTTACCTGAAGAATTGGAAAACGTTGAAGATCCTTCACAGCGTCATAAGGACGCAAACGTAGGTCAATGTCTGTTTTACTCCAAATTCTCCAGAACGTCAATAGCAGGGAATCACCTCTTCTGAGACATTCTTTTAGGTGTTTATGAGCACTTTCGACACGGTTGTTTGTGTGGTCGCTCAGTCTTAATACATGTCGCCGGTAACAGCGAGCCCACATTGACTTCCTGGCAATCCAGTAATCTTTTATGTAATCATACGCCCATGGGAAATGCGTCCTTAGATGTTCGTACTTCCGAGTAAATCTGAATATAATGGGCTATGAAAAACGAAGCTCACATATCAGACCGTCTAATCTTCACAAGGTGTTCCAAGCATTTGCGCACATTGAGATTTCGAAACTACAAAAAATAATTTGTACAGCTAACACATACCTTCCTGAAAAACGCTCTTAGGACATGGAATGAACAAAGTATTATGTTAGAATGACTGTGCGTAGACTGCACAGCCGAAATTTCGGTCGCTGCCGAATCCATAATGAAAGTGCGTGTAGCATAAGTACCGCACATTATCTCTTTAAAACATTCCAATAGTTTTTCGATATCTTCGCGTCGTTCTTGACTGCAAAGAGCATACATAACAGTGTGCCCTTGCCCAAGACTATCAGTCACTACTAGCTGGAACAGTGGAAAACTTTCAGATAAATTTATTACTAATCGTCACTTACCCGACTTTATTGGTCTGATAAGTCGAATCAATACATATTACCTCCGGGAACGCGTGGTAAACAGCTATTTGCTCTCTGCGGCTGAAGCAAATCATAGACATGTTCCCATTTTCATTGAATACTTTAACTTCAGTATTTGCTTGAATGCACTGTAAAATGTCATTGATATTTTTAGTGTCTAAACTCAATTAATTACAATGTGAGTTCAACAACCTGGGTACAACTGTGAACGCATTCTGGCGATATCGTCCTTGGTAAGCTGTTTATTGAACTTCAAAGAAACCAGATACCGTAAGCTACGAGTTGATGTATTACTCAGTAGAAACGTTCTTAAATACAAGCGTTCACTTGAGGTCAACTGTCGTTTCGGTGGATCGACAGAAATATATCCTTCTGTGCAAGGATGGTTGTGCACGGTTTTAATAGAGGTGAGTTTCAACTCACCATTTACTGCCCGGACCCAAAATCCTGATTGACAGTGGCAATATTTCGACCTGAAGGATAAATTCATTTGAAGTAAGGCATACGTAGATGACCGACGTCGTCTCCTTTGCCTAGATTGTGTTGGCGAGTGAGAAGTTGTATGCTCTTCAGAAGAATGATTATTACTATCATCATCTACATCTTGAACGCAAGCATCTGACTCTGACGAACTGCGTTTACCTCCATATGTACAGACATATCTCACGAAAAAGTACTTTAGAGTTGGATCATCACTGTTCTTTTTGCATACTGACATAACGTACTTAGTATGCGTATACTAAAAAAATAATTATTAACCAGAGGTCATATTACCTTATGTACTTCTTTCAAACAGGTCTCAAAATTGTTCCAACTTGTAAATCTTCGAGATAACATAATATCATTGAAGATTCGTCTTATATCATGCATTATCACAACGGAATCGTCTTCGTTACTTGAAGAATGAACGTTATCAGACATAGTGTGGCTGAACTCAATTCAAATCTAAAAATGTCTTGATTTGACCGCTTCTGAAAATTTTCACGAATTGTCGATGTGACGCGTCAATCGTTTTGCGACAGTTTGACCTTCAAGTGCTCGCAACCCCCAACAGTGGACGATAACCTAGGAGCGTTGCCGATGGAAACACGGAGCAGAAGGCTGAAGGAAATTGACGAAATGGATGGTAAAATTTCTAAAGCTGTTTGTGGTATGTCTGATGTTAATGATGATAAATGTGATGATGTTAGTATTAATAGTATGTCCTCTAGCCAGCTAAGTACTAGATTAAAGCTAGGTAAGGCATTACTGAGGAAAAAGAATTAAGGAAAGAAACTTGAATTGGAACGGCAACTTAAGATGTTAGATCTTCAAGAAGAGGTTGATATCGCCGAACAAGAATGCAAGGCCGTTGAGGACGATGAACGATTACCTGTAGATAAATGTGGGATAAATGCTAAAGTGGAAAATTATTTGGATTGTGATGCTGGGTGTAATAATCACTCAGGGAACGTATGTAACATCTCAAAGGTCGATTGTGTTGGGGAACTGAAGGACACGTTGCATACAATGGTTAGTAACATGGTTTTACCTAAGATCGATATGATGTATTTTGATGGGCAACCGGGTCAGTATTACCGTTTCATCAGTCAGTTCAATAGCCTTATACAGAGTAAACTGTCAGATAAGAGCTAATTGCTGTCGTATTTATTATACTATTGCAAAGGAAAGGCTAGAACAGCAATTGAATCTTGCGTTTCTTTGCCCAGTCATTTAGGCTATGATAGGGCTAAACGAAATTTATATGATTTATTTGGTAAAGAGCATCTTGTTGCACGAGAACTAATCACTGAGTTATTAAACCATAAATCTGTCGGAGGATCAGCTGACGTATTAACTGACTTTGCGATTAAGTTACGTAATGTATGTATAACGTTGAAGGAAATGGGATACATGTCTGACGTCAATTCTACGGCTAATTTGGAGATAATAGTTTCATGCTTACCACTAGAATTGCAGAATAAGTGGGTGGAAGTCGCCGATAAGATTATGATGCATGGGAAGGAGCCGAGCTTTGAAGAATTTGTGGTCTTCGTAGAAGAGAGGGCCAGAATCGCCCGAACCCGTTATGGTAGATTAGTACAGTGTAACTCAAGGTTCGGTAAGAGGAATTCTGAAAGCCAAGTGGATAGGAGATCACGCTTTCATGCAATTAGACGAGACCCAAATAACTCAGTCAAGGTACCACATTGTGAAATCTGAGTAGGTGATCATAAGGTGACAGATTGTCCAACGTTATCAAAAATGAATGTAAGAGAAAGGAGGCAGGAGGTAAGAAAACGTGGTCTATGTTACTTATGTTTTAGGAAAGGTCACATAGCTATGTCATGCAACTCAGGCTTCAAGTGCCACGTTGAGAATTGCAAGGTTATGCATAATTCATTATTGCATATTGATAGTATTGATGGCCATATGGTGAATTTAGCTAAGGATTGGAACTCCTCAAAGGTTTGTGTGGGTATCGTTCCAGTCAGACTGTACGGTCCCAAAGGATGTTTGGAAACATATGCACTTCTAGATAGTGGTTCGGACACTTCTCTTGTATGTGAAGAATTAATTAATCAGTTGAGTATTAAAGGTAGAGACTTCGATAAAGGTGGCGACAGTGAACGGGACTACCAATTGTGAATGTTTGGAGGTAAATTTAGAGGTATTTTCATTAAATGAACGGGGTTCTATAAGGATCAACAAAGTTTACACGACCAAGAAACTTCCGATCGATCATGCAGCACCTTTAACCGAACTCCAACTGAAGCGGTGGAAACACCTAAAGGACATAACCCTCCCGAGGTTGCGAAGTAATTTTGTAGGAATATTGATTGGGTGTGATGCTCCGGATGCACATTGGGTCTTGGAACAACGTCTGGGGGACAAGAAGCATCCGTTTGCTGTGCGTACTCATCTCGGTTGGATGATTATAGGTCCTAAGGGAGTATCAAGGTCTCTACATCAAGTTCAGTGGTGTCATTGTCCCTCTAATGATATTTTGCGAGATTTAGAAAGATTATGTAATCATGAGTTCGAGAATACAGATACGTTTCGTAATGGATATTCTGTCGAAGATAAAAAAAGCTCTAGAAATAGTTAGCGATTCGTTTAAATTGGAGGGTGGTCATTTCCAAGTTGGTCTACCATGGAAGTATGATAAGCCAAGGCTACCGAATAATTTGGAACTGGCTGAACGCAGACTAGAATGCTTAAGAAAGAGGTTTATGAAAGATAACAGTCTTTTGGAGAAATATCAAGTTGTGATGAATAAACATTTAAGTGAGGGCTACATCACTGAAGCTAGTAAAGAAGAATTTCACCATGATACTGTTTGTTGGTATATTCCTCATCATCCTGTTATCAACCGTAAAAAAGCCTGGAAAATTGAGAATTGTTTTTGATTGTGCGGCAGTCTATCAAGGTTGTTCTCTTAATGACCAGCTTTTGAGATAACCAAATACTATAAATAGTTTAATTGGTGTAATTCTACGATTTAGATTAGGTAACGTAGCATTAGCTGCTGATATTGAAGAGATGTTTCTTTAAGTAAAGATCCCGAAACAAGACAGGAGAGCGTTTCGTCTATTGTGGTGGGAAGACGGTGATATAAGACGGAAGCCTAAGGAATATTGTTTAACAGTTCATCCGTTTGGAGCCGTGTCCTTCCCTTTCTGCGCTAATTTCGCTCTTAAAAAGACGGTAGATGTAAAATGTGATCGATAAACGAACCCACCAATAATAAAGGGAAACGCCCACCACCACATTAACTTCCTTTGACCTTGTGCGACTGTATCTTTTTGTTAACCAATCACAGTTTAATGTTCATTGTAAAACAATATTTGCTTGTTGACTCATTTTTCCTATTCTCTGGCTACTGTTCGGTATGTTATTGTCTCTTTTTCCACGTATTAATAGACTGTACTGTTCGTTTGCACACTAACGATGTTAATTTATGTTTTAGAAACAGATAAAGTTTATATAGACAAATAGCTTACTTGTTCTGACTTTGGCCAAACCAAGACTCTGTATTCGACGCTCTAGAGAATAGCTTAGAATTAAACCTGTAGGAAATCGCTCCCTACAAAGTTTCGAACAGTATCTCATCAAAGTTTCGTACATTGGGTACTTTTAGATGTCTATGGAGAGTCGTAAAACTGTTCGTATTCCTGAATTGTCTCCTCATCATTCAGAAACCCATAGTGATGACCAGCTCGGAGGAAATACCTACCAAATGGATCCCTTGTTAGAGTTAGAATTAACTAAAGTACGTTTAGCTCAGACAGAAAAGGAAATCGAGCTAGAACGGTTACGCCAAAAAGGAAGAGAACATTATAATCAAGTTATGGTTGACAAGGCGATGACGTATGAGTCTACATCTGTCGTTGATGTTCCTCCTAGAAAAGACTGGGTAACAATGATGTTTAGAGCTTTAGACCTAACAAAAAAAGAGATTATAAGGTTTGATGGTAACCCTATGAACTATTGGAGCTTCATACGGAATTTTGAGGACTGTTTTGACGAAAGCATTGGGTTCCGATCAAGGTTAAACTACTTGATCCAGTACTGTGATGGTGAAGCTAAAAACACTATTGTTCGTTGCGCATTGCTTGAACCAGAAGGAGGCTATCGTAAAGCACTGGAACTTCTCGAGGAAGCATTTGGTCAGAAGCATATAGTAGCTCATGCATTTATTGATAAGATGCTGCCATTAAAGGGACCGATCCATACAATTTAAGAAGGTTGTCTTGTGAGATGCATATTTGTGAGCTAACACTCACGCAGATGAACTATGTATCTGATCTTAATTCTGCAAAGACTATCGAATGCATGTTTTTAAAAGTCCCGTTACACCTGCAAAGAGAATGGGTTAAAGTTGCGTGTAGAATTCTTAAGACAGGTAGAGAACCTTCATTCAAGGACCTTTGTGAAAGAGCAGTCGGACATTGCTAATACTAGGTACGGCTTACTTGTCAACCGCCGTAGTAATAGTGGCAATAAAGATGTTGGTGTTTGTTAGGTATGAAGCTTCACGGGTTCACTTAGACTGCGAACGAGAACAATACTCAGTGACCAAAGACCAGTAATCTAACTATTGACGCGTCCCAGCCCCGCTATCTAGAAGGAGAATTCCAGGCTTGGTATGGAAAATATATTCTGCAAACGGCCAGAGAAACGAGCAAGCAAGCAGCAGCGAACACTCAGACACAATTTAAACGTATATATATGTAAATATATAAAATCGATATTGTCATATTAAAATGTTTTTTTAAACATGACTCATTCAGTTCACTCGACAGGCATTCGAATATTTAGTCGATAAGTTTGTAGCGGTAAATAAATCCCCAAACTAAAGAGCTCTGTAGGTTTTAGACATTGGATGCTGACCATATGTTTTAGTGGACTCATCTAGCTGAAGGCGCTCGGTTATGCATCCGCACCAGATCACGTGCTGTAACGCTGTGCTCAACATCAACCGCAATCACTAGCCAGATTAGATCAGAGATTCCCGATATATTGGTTATCGCCAAATACACTCTTCCGATCTCCTCGACTCTGTCTTTTGATTTCTCTCGATGAGAACAAAGCATATTAGAAAGTGTTACCGGTAGAAGCGTTGTCAAACACTGAATAACTGTATCATCATCAAGTTCATCATGTGACTTCCATTCAAATATTTAATCGATATGATAAAATTACAAATATGAATTTTATGGATATACCGTCCCAACACTCCTCCCCTTTTTAATAGCGTGCTTTTCTGGGGTCGACTTGCATTTTGACTGTAGTTCACCGCTGACGGAGAGGCCACCTTCTGGGACGGGGATCAGCTTGCTGTTGAGCTTCTTGTGATGGGGCTGCAGGTAAGTTGAAAGTATCAAGCAAGATGTCGAGGGGAATATCTACTCCATTTGATGGGTGGTCTGGGGCAATCCGCTTACGTAGTTGGTTTCGGTGTCTAGTCCATGTGTCTCTTCCCACCTTTACCTCGTACATAACTTGACCTAGTCTTCCAACCACACGTGCTTCGATCCAAGGACCATGATTTGCTCTGTAGTCTCGAGCGAACACGGGGCATCCAACCTCGTACGCTGGAAGCTTCTGAGATTTGGTATGAGATGGTGGTGGTGTGGTTCTTGGGCATATGAGACAGTGGATTGTCCTCAATTTCCTTCCCATCAGGATCTCTGCCGGGGACTTCTGCTGTGGTAGAATATCACTAGGTGTTTTTCGGTAAACAAACAAGAAATTCTGCAGTGTTTCTACTGGCGTCCCCTCCCCTTTCGACTTCATTAGAGCTCTCTTGAATGTATCTACAAATCTTTCTGCTTGTCCATTTGACTGTGGGTGGTAAGGTGGAGAGCGGAAATGCTTGATCGATAGGCGTTTGCAAAATTCTTGAAATTGACTTGAGGTGAATTGCGAACCATTATCGGAAACGATTATATCCGGTAACTCGTTGCGAGAGAACATCTCTGTCAAAAGTTGTATCGTTTGAGTTGTCGTTGGCGGTATGACGAGAACGATTTCTGGCCATTTCGAAAAGGCGTCAACAACGACTAGATAAGTGATTCCATTAATTGGGCCTGCGAAATCGACATGTATCCTGGACCAGGGATACTCAGGCTGTGACCATGGGACCGGGAGTATTTTCGCGTTACACTTGGCTGCTTGCTGACACTGTGCGCGGTCCTCTGTCAATAGGGAGGCAATAACTGCATCTTCGCCGGCCGTATGATGTTCGCTGGTTGAAAACTCCGTCATTAGTTCTTTCGAATATGCTTCAGGTTTATGAGGTTGTTTCACCAGATGGCATATGGTGCTTAATGGGATGTCAGCTAAATGTAGCCAGTCTAACCCAAGTAGATTAAGATCAGCTGGTGTGATGTAACATAACCCGGTAAACGTCGAATCATGAAAAAACACTTTACAATCTAGTTGTCCCAACAAACGTAGATAATTACCACATTCGATTCGCGGTTTTTGTGTTGTCGGCACCAGGCGTGGTCTTCCCATTCTGGTCCAAAATTTTCGTGAGAGAATCGTTACATCAGATGCAGTGTCTATTTGCAATCTAAGAGGGTGTCCATTAATATTAAGGGTAATAAATTTCCTCTCAACTGGGGTTGAGTTCTCACAGCTTGCTATTAGACTCAACGAATTCGTGTTGGATCTAGGCGTAGGTTTTCTGGTACCTCTGGAGTTGCTCGGCTTCTTTTTTCGACAAAAACCATCTTTATGACGCACCGCATTACATTTCCTGCACCGATGTTGCTTATATGGACAGTATCGAACAAAATGCCATGCACCGCAGTGCCAGCATGGAGCAGGAGGATTTGTTTTTGTCTGTCGACCTGAACTAGATGTCGCTGGGGCAGATTTATGAGAGTTGAGTGGTTGTTTGACTACATGAACTTCTGTACGATTTGAACCACCACGCTGGACCATTGTAGTATCACGCTGTAGATTGATTAGACGTTGATATTCATTTGCAATATCATTAAGAGTTAGTTTTGGGTCTTGGTCCAATCGACTTAGCAAACGTGTTCTAATGTCACTGAACTTCTGCGATTGAAGGCTGCAGATGAGACTGAGTGCTTTAAATTGATCTTCAGTAAGCGACTTCAACCGGAAGCGTTCACATTCTCGGTTGACAATACCCACATATGTGAGAAAATCATCATCTTCGTTCATAGTGAGCTTCAAACATCGATAGCACGCATTGAATAGTGAGGAGTTGTCTCCGAATTGTTGGCTCAATGACTGGACAGTGTCGGAGAACGAACGATCGCGTGGGTTTAAAGGCAGGATTAGATTGCAATACTTGTCTAGTTCACTAGGACCCAACTTTCGAAGCAGCAAGCGGACCTTCCAAGCATCATCCTGGTTGGCAAAGTCAAATTTGAATAAGTCTTCGTAACGTCGAAACCACATATCAAACGTGACATTGGATTCTGGATCGTAATGAAACTCGGAGATACTGTTAGCAATACCATCAACTGACGGTGCAGTAGTAGTAGGATTAGAACTGCTTGGTTGAGAATTAGACGTAAGCTTTGCATCTGCTAACATTTGAATAAGTTTCATCTGCTGCTCGAGTAATAATTCAAGTTTAGATGGATCCATGTTTCCGAAATCCCCGTCGCCAAATTGTTAGGTTGAAAGCTTCACGGGTTCACTTAGACTGCGAACGAGAACAATACTCAGTGACCAAAGACCAGTAATCTAACTATTGACGCGTCCCAGCCCCGCTATCTAAAAGGAGAATTCCAGGCTTGGTATGGAAAATATATTCTGCAAACGGCCAGAGAAACGAGCAAGCAAGCAGCAGCGAACACTCAGACACAATTTAAACGTATATATATGTAAATATATAAAATCGATATTGTCATATTAAAATGTTTTTTTAAACATGACTCATTCAGTTCACTCGACAGGCATTCGAATATTTAGTCAATAAGTTCATCATGTGACTTCCATTCAAATATTTAATCGATATGATAAAATTACAAATATGAATTTTATGGATATACCGTCCCAACACTCCTCCCCTTTTTAATAGCGTGCTTTTCTGGGGTCGACTTGCATTTTGACTGTAGTTCACCGCTGACGGAGAGGCCACCTTCTGGGACGGGGATCAGCTTGCTGTTGAGCTTCTTGTGATGGGGCTGCAGGTAAGTTGAAAGTATCAAGCAAGATGTCGAGGGGAATATCTACTCCATTTGATGGGTGGTCTGGGGCAATCCGCTTACGTAGTTGGTTTCGGTGTCTAGTCCATGTGTCTCTTCCCACCTTTACCTCGTACATAACTTGACCTAGTCTTCCAACCACACGTGCTTCGATCCAAGGACCATGATTTGCTCTGTAGTCTCGAGCGAACACGGGGCATCCAACCTCGTACGCTGGAAGCTTCTGAGATTTGGTATGAGATGGTGGTGGTGTGGTTCTTGGGCATATGAGACAGTGGATTGTCCTCAATTTCCTTCCCATCAGGATCTCTGCCGGGGACTTCTGCTGTGGTAGAATATCACTAGGTGTTTTTCGGTAAACAAACAAGAAATTCTGCAGTGTTTCTACTGGCGTCCCCTCCCCTTTCGACTTCATTAGAGCTCTCTTGAATGTATCTACAAATCTTTCTGCTTGTCCATTTGACTGTGGGTGGTAAGGTGGAGAGCGGAAATGCTTGATCGATAGGCGTTTGCAAAATTCTTGAAATTGACTTGAGGTGAATTGCGAACCATTATCGGAAACGATTATATCCGGTAACTCGTTGCGAGAGAACATCTCTGTCAAAAGTTGTATCGTTTGAGTTGTCGTTGGCGGTATGACGAGAACGATTTCTGGCCATTTCGAAAAGGCGTCAACAACGACTAGATAAGTGATTCCATTAATTGGGCCTGCGAAATCGACATGTATCCTGGACCAGGGATACTCAGGCTGTGACCATGGGACCGGGAGTATTTTCGCGTTACACTTGGCTGCTTGCTGACACTGTGCGCGGTCCTCTGTCAATAGGGAGGCAATAACTGCATCTTCGCCGGCCGTATGATGTTCGCTGGTTGAAAACTCCGTCATTAGTTCTTTCGAATATGCTTCAGGTTTATGAGGTTGTTTCACCAGATGGCATATGGTGCTTAATGGGATGTCAGCAAAATTTAGCCGGCAACTTGGACCGATGCATATATGTGCCTTGGAGAACCACGAAAGCAATCATTCAGAATATACATGTGTTTATTAACAGTTGTCTCCACAAAATACTTCGGTTCCGTTGACCAGACACTATCAGTAACAAACTATAGTGGATGATAACAAACCAGATTGCACTGCAGGAATAAATCAGGAAGAAGTGCTGGAAGTGGATAGGACATACATTGAGGAAAGTACCCAATTGCGTCACAAGGCAAGCCCTCACATGGAATCCTCAATGCCAAAGGAGAAGAGGAAGACCAAAGAACACACGACGCCGAAACAGATATGTAAAGAATGAATAACAACTGGATAGAACTAGAATGGAAGACCAAGGACAGTGTGGGTTTGAGAATGCTGGTCGGTGACCTATGCTCCACTAGGAGTAAGAGGTATAAGTAAGTAAGTAACCAATAAATAAATGATTATTGGAATGTACTTGATAATACATAATAAACCATAATTGCTGAAGCGTGGCATTTTAGCTTATGTCAACTTCTGATGAGACCGATAGGTCCATTTTTGGAATCCTACGAGGCGTTATCTTGGGTGCGCACTGCCACTGAGGAGTCCCATACTAGGACAAAACGGCCATCCAGTGCTTTCAAGTTTTCCATGGTGGTCTAGTTTCACTTGACTCATGATCTTAACTGTTGTTCATATGATATATATATGAATTATCCTACAAATACCCAATACAATTGTAGATTGAGATACATGGAAGTTATGATGATGAGGATGATGGTGATAATGATGATGAACGAGTATTGTTTATCTAATCATGATTTACTTGTAATGAATGATTTCTAATCTATTAACAAATAACTGATTGTAGTTTGTTTTGTTTTCTTATGTAACCAATCAATTAAACCAAGAATCATTATTCTGTTCCTTTGCTTTTTCATTTTAATAAACAATGGAATCTCAATGGGAGTGAATAGGTGGATGGTTGAGTGAAGAGTGTGTGTGTGTGTGTGGGAGGGGAGGGTAAATCAATATTTTACAATAGAATAAATGAGATTATTAGATAGAGATAATTTAGGACTTTCATCGATACTTTATAAACAATGATGGATGATGACTAGTAGTGAAATTTAAGAAGACTGTTTCGTCTTATTTAGGACTTGTCAAATAGATGTACTTGCATTGCACAGTTAATGTTCCCATCAGGATTCGAACCCAGTAACATTTACTTCAGATGCCATCACATTATCCACTCAGTTACTAAGTCCTAATAGCCATCTGCTTGTATAATGGAGCGAAGTTATATTCAATTGATATGGTTTACTTGTATCTTCTCATTGTTGTTTAGGACTGTAATTTATCAAATGTGTATCATGTTCAGATTGTCTCGATATTGTCTTCAGTTATTCGCTTTATCTCATCTAGACTGTTTCAGTATATTTATTCACTACATTTATAATAATTTTGATGTTTAAGATCATGAGTCAGTTGAAGCTAGACCACCACGGGAAACCTGGAAGCAATGGACGGCCGTTTCGTCTTACTGTGGGACTCCCCAGCAGTGCGCGAAACTAGTAGGTCCTGATATCGAATCTCGCAGGAAGCAATGTCGTTGATGACTGATCTATATTTTAGAAATGTCATTAGAAATAGAAAAATCAAAACATCTACAGGACAACGAATATAAGAAGTTCATGTCTTTTTCTTGGACAATACGATATATCCATACTACTGATATATATACAAGTAGTCGTAATAGGTGAAGTAGTAGTCGCAGGTGTAGTAGTAGTCGCAGGTGTAGTAGTGGTAGTCCATCGTCTTAGATTCCATTGTTCCAGTATTTTCATACCAATTATTTCCCATTCCCGTTCTCTCCTTATCGGTCTTCTACTGAAATACATTCCATGCCGGCCCATCTTTATATACTACTTATGTGGATATAAGTACCTTATACCACAATTGTAGTATTTCCCGTTGTTTTCTCATTTCCAAATGTTATCTGGAAATCTAGAGCTTAGATTCTTTGATATACCAAGTACAACTTGACCACTCAAACGCTAGAAGTCACAAATGAGAAAACAGAAGATGAATGAAAAGAATGCTATTCCAAAACAGTGTCAAATATAATACAAACTGTCAAGTATTTGTAGTGTTTTTAGTATCAACGAAATCATCATCATTATAGTTATCCAATCTGCACATAGGAGATTCTTACCATTTGTCTAATAGAGAGGTTACCCATAAGGATTCTGGAATATTCTTCCTAAAGATCTATCTTGACAATGATGTTTCACAGTGTACATATAAACATCTAACAATCGATCTATCCCTACTTACTTACTTACTTACTTATACTTACGTCTGTTACTCCTCGTGAAGGAGCATAGGCCGCTCACCAGCATTCTCCATCCAACCCTGTCCTGGGCATCATTCTATCCATAATTATAATTTTATTCTCTCATTATATTCAATAGTTCATATTCATTATTTGTTTTATGGACTGAATATTTAATATTTCCATCAAATCTCATATTGAGTGTACATAATTCTTATCGACGGAAATACTGATTGTGTCTTTGTTTGTTCCATACCTAATACTATTGGTTCTTTCAGAAATATTTCAACTGACCATTGTTCTTTATTGCTACTTTGTTACATACAGATATCCTTAGCACTCATAGAACTAACATTCTGTGTGAAGGATTGTCAATGTGCACTGTCTCGGAACATATTCATTCATGAAGAAATCTTTGTATAATCAATACAGAAAATGATTCAATAATCATCTACAATTGAACATGTTAAAATAAGTTTCTAGACATCTGATAGCAAGAATTTCAGCAGGATGTTTTATACAAACATTCGAATCTCTTTCTGATGAATTGATTCATGAAAACTAGTGACAATAAATTAAATTTTATTTCTGGTTTTGGTGGAGATTTGTTCTCAGAGCTGGATGTTTTGATCGTTCTTCTGAACGACATCACCAGCAGCATAAACTTCAGATAGAAGTGAAGTGTTCGAATTTCTCTATATGCGGTTCATAGCTTGTTCTGAACATCTCGACGTTGATGGTTCTTATTGAGCTTAAATTTGTGATTGTTTACTCCTTTGTTTTGGTTGTGTCTCCCATTGGTTTACTTCTGGTTCAAGGGATCTGAGTTATAATTTAGGGATAGTGTCAATTTTGTAAATGTTCATTATGCAAAAAATAGAATTAAACACTTTATACTCTCAGTACTATCGATTTCACTGTATGATAACTGTTATATTGTAGTAAAGATTAAGTTACGGTTGACTTCTGAGACCTATTATTGCACCAATATATTCCTCGTATAATGAGCTTCATTTTGACTTATAGATTATGATTATACGATATACTGTTCCTAAGTTATACTCAGTTTATTAATTACAGTCTCTCATGTTCACAGTCACTTTTTGGCTTAATTAATGTCATTTCCTACTTCATGGTGTGA